TGGAGGTTCCTTAAAAAGCTAAAAATAGAACTACCATATGACCTAGCAATCCCACTACTGGGCATATACCCTGAGAAGATCATAATTCAAAAAGAGTCATGTACCACAATGTTCATTGCAGCTCTATCTACAATAACCAGGACATGGAAGCAACCTAAGTGTCCATCGACAGAAGAATGCATAAAGAAGATGTGGCACATATATACAATGGAATATTACTCAGTCATAAAAAGAAATGAAATTGAGTTATTTGTAGTGAGGTGGATGGACCTAGAGTCTGTCATACAGAGTAAGTCAGAAAGAGAAAAACAAATACTGCATGCTAACACATATATATGGAATCTAAAAAAAAAAAAAAGGTTCTGGAGAACATAGGGGCAGGACAGGAATAAAGACACAGATGTAGAGAAGGTTCTGGAGAACATAGGGGCAGGACAGGAATAAAGACACAGATGTAGAGAATGGACTTGAGGACACAGGGAGGGGGAAGGGTAAGCTGGGATGAAGTGAGAGAGTGGCATGGACATATATACACTACCAAATGTAAAATAGCTAGTGGGAAGCAGCCACATAGCACAGGGAGATCAGCTTGGTGCTTTGTGACCACCTAGAGTGGTGGGATGGGGGGGTGGGAGGAAGACGCAAGAGGGAGGAGATATGGGGATATATGTATATGTATAGCTGGCTCACTCTGTGATACAGCAGAAACGAACACAACATTGTAAAGCAATTATACTCCAATAAAGATCTTAAAAAAAAATTAACTGCTCTCTTAAATTTAGTGTTTATCATTTCCTTACATAGTTTGATAGGCAGAATAATAGTCCCCTGTGCTACCTGCCCCCCACCCCCACCCCAATCCTCAGAACCTGTGAATACATGGCAAGAGTCTTTGCAGACTCAAGTTAAAGATCTTGAGATGGTGAGATTATCCTTGTTTATCTGGGTGGATCCAATGTAATCACAAGGGTCCTTATAAGTAAAAGAGGGAGGTAGGACTCCTTGTAAATACATCTCTCCAAGGGCCAGATAAGCACTAGTGTCTCTAGCTTTTATGATCTATAGATGTCTCCCAGGTCCTGCGACACATATCTCCTTGAATGTAAATTATTAGGGATCTTCCTGACATCTTGGGAGCTTGACCTAGGGAAGGAACTAGGCCAGATTATACACATTTGACCTTCTTGGGGAGACAAGAGAAGTTTTATTATCCTTTTAGATCAGAGAAATTAACTAGACAGAAAGCTACAGATCTAATCTCCATAGTATGTAGAAAGTAAAATGTTTATAGAGGAAGTGAAGACAAAACATTACCTTTTTATCATATAGATTTCTGTCTCCAGAGGCTAGAGCTTTTTCCTCAGGAGCACTGAGGAATCCATGAAAGATTTTTATTTCCTCACACTGATTTATCAACAATTGAGAGTTGATGATTGTGGATTTGTCAATTTCTCCTTTGTATCTTTGCAGCTCTACTACTGGATACTTTCATTTAGAATTGTTATATATCTTTAGTAAATTATTTGTATTGTTTTCTTTAATTATAATGTAGTGACCCTCTTTATCAGACAAATTTTTAAAATCCACCTAAAATACAATACTGAACAAGATGAACACAACTGAAAGGAAATTTGATAGCTATATTGATATCAGAGGAGAAAACTTTAAAGCAAAAGCATTATTAGGGATAATCTTTGTCTTCCAAGCAGTGAATTTTGTTAAATTTATTATTGCTAGATATACTTAGATTCATTTTTCTCAACTTATTTTATACTATTTATTCTCTTTTATGTACTTGTTTTGTCCTTTCCTGCCTTTATTTATTGAATTTTAAAAGCTACCGCCTTGTCCCCATTTTCATGTGTTAGAAGATATCCATTCTATTTCCATTATTTCGGTGGCTTCTCTTAAATATTTTTGACATGTGCATTTACCTTAATAAAGCCTAAAGTAGCTTAATAGCTATACTTTCTTCCTGACTCATTAATGGAATTTAGAACATTTTAACTCTGATTACTTTCTCCAGTCTTAGAGTATGAATATATTCTAGCGGTTTTGTCCCTTGTTTTTTGTACTCCCACGTGTCATCATCCTTATATGTTTTTATAAGGTTGCTGGGTTTACCCTTATGCTTATTAAATTTCTTTGCCCATCATTACTATTTCATTTCACTCCTTTCCTCTGATTTCAATGTCCTTTAGAAGTTGTTTTGTGATGGGTGTATTAGAGGCAAACTCTCTCAGTCTTTGTCGTAGAGTGTCTTTACTTAATACTCATCCTTGAGTTGTAATTTACTTGCATGTGGTATCTGAGATTGGTAAGTATTTTCTGCTGACTATGCTTTCTGCGACTGCTAAGTGACATTCTTTTGTAGGTAACCTGTCTCCGGTTGCATTTAAGGTTTTCCTTTGCTTATGGCCTTTTGCAATTTCACTACAAACCCATGGTATCTTGATTATCCTGTTTGGGATTTCTTGTGCTTCTTAAATCTGAGAATTGTTGCTTTTCATCAGTTCTAAAGCATTTTTGTCTGTAATATTTTTGAGTTTTTTTTTTTTGGTGGTACGCAGGCCTCTCACTGTTGTGGCCTCTCCCGTTGCAGAGCACAGGCTCTGGATGCGCAGGCTCAGCGGCCATGGCTCACGGGCCCAGCCGCTCCGCAGCATGTGGGATCTTCCTGGACTGGGGCACGAACCCGTGTCCCCTGCATCGGCAGGTGGACTCTCAACCACTGTGCCACCAGGGAAGCCCTATTTTTGAGTTTTGCTTTGATTCCATTTGCTCTGTTCCTTCCTTCTGGAAATTCTATAAAGATATATAGAATATTGGACCTTTTTATGTTATATAATGTGTCTCTTAACCTCCTTTATATTTTCCATCTCTTTATCTCTCTGTGCTTTATCCTGTGTAATTTCATTATACATAATCCAGTTTGCTATTCCTTGTATTAGCTGGGTTTCTTCTGCTATTTAACTCATCTGTTGAGTTTTTAGTTTCAATCATTATGTTTTTAATTGCCATGAATTTTATTTGGTTTCTTTATAAATCTGCCCAGTCCTTTTTCAACAACAGCTTTTCTCAAGAATTTTTTTGTCTTCATCACCTTAATGTTTTCATGATTACTGACAATTTTATTCATGAAGTTATTGTTTTTCTGTTGTTCACTCTTGTTGGACTTTTTTTCCTCCCTGTGTTTTGTAATTTTTATTGAGAGCTCATTTTGTTGTGGCTTAATCTGTACGAATTCTACAAGGCCAGGTTTGAGGGTGTGTTTCTTTAGAGAGAGGGTATTTATTTCTGCCAAATGCCCCATAGTTACTACCAAGTTGCAAACTCTTTTCATGTTAATGTATCAAATACAATTACAAAGGTAATAAATTCAAGTTACATCCCACAAATAATAAAATTCAAATTCCAATGCACACAATAAGTGGTCTTTGGTTACAAATTCTTTGGGAAATTTTTTTGATCCCAGGCTAGGTACTTCAGTTTTTCTCTTGTCAATAGCAGTTTTTTTTTTTTTTTTTGCGGTACGCGGGTCTCTCACTGTTGTGGCCTTTCCCATGGTGGAGCACAGGCTCCCGAGGCAAAGGCTCCGGATGCACAGGCTCAGCGGCCATGGCCCACGGGCCCAGCCACTCTGGGGCATGTGGGATCTTCCCGGACCGGGGCACAAACCCGTGTTCCCTGCATTGGCAGGCCGACTCTCAACCACTGCGCCACCAGGGAAGCCCAATAGCAGTTTTTTATTTTGTTTTTACATCTCTTTTTTATAATCCTGGATTTCTCTGTCTCTCTCCCTTTCTCTGTCTCCTTCTCTTTCTCTCTCTGACTCAGTTATGACCTCCAGCTTTGTATAAGCCTGGTAACTTTTTCTGTCCCTGCATGGCCAGTAAAATCTGAACCTATTTGTTATGAAAAGCAGCAACCACCTCCACTGTTCTCCCATCCCAAGCAACTATGGCATGGATCTCTTATTGTGTGTCTGGGTTTACAAAGACTGGGGCCCTGGATATTTTCCTTACTTTCTTGAAAACTCAATTATTTTTTAAAAACAAATGTTTGTTTTAGAGAGTAGAAAACTGATTATTAGAGGTTATGGGGTAGGGGAAATAGGGAGTTTGGAAAAAGGATATCAACTTTCAGCTATAAGATGAATAAGGTCTGAGAATCTAAAGTAATACATGGAGATAAATAATCTAATACACTTTAGATTAAAAGTAATCTAAAGTCATCTAAATAATGACTATGGTTGATAACACTGTGTTGTATAATTGAAATTTGCTAACAGAGTAGAACTTAAATGTTCTCATAAAAATAAATAAAGAGAAGTATGTGAGATGTTGGATATGTTTAATTTAACTAGATGGGGGAATCCTTTTACAATGTATACATAAATCAACTCACTATGATGTACACTTTAAATATCTTATAATTTTATGTCAATATACCTCAATAAAGCTGAAATTTTAAAAAATTTAAAAAGGAAATATTTTTTTAAATGTTTGTTTTAGCATTTACTGATGTTTTGTATCAAGAGGATTTCCAGATTTTCTAGTCTACCATTTTTCTAGAAATAGAAGCCAAAGTGGGTTTATTGATCTTTCCGAGGAATCCTATAACTTTAAAAAGACTCCAGTTCAGAAAATAATTATTGAATGCCTTCTATGTAGTACCAGCTATTATTTAGGAAAATTGTTCACTTTCTAGCAGAATACCACTTTAATTCAGAAAATAAAATAAATCTACCTATCTTCCTCACCATCCTTCTGCAACTATCAGTTTGATCACATTATATCAAAGGCAGCATCAGATAAGTTCTAGAACTCTAAATTCCTACCTTCAGATAAAATTCAAGCACATAAACCCCTGCTACCACAATATACGGATTACATTACCATTAACACACACACACACACTCACACAAAATGGTAAATTGAAGAGTTAGATAAAAATTCACATATTTTTTCAAAATTGTGAATGTTTTTCTTTGTGTTTAGATTTTCTCCTACCTCAGTTTAAGAGATGTGGTAATATGTGGTCAAGTTAATTGCTCCTGGTTGTTGATGACACAAATGAGCTCATTGTGGAATGGTGTAAGTAGACACGACCTGAAGCTATGTCTTTATTCTAGTTCTCAAAGGAGAATAGACTGCTATAAAGCCACCTGTAATGGGGAATACCATCTTCCCTGCTCCACAACATGGGGCCACAAAAAGTAGGTGCATTTGTTTCTCTTTTGTCCAGGCACAAGCCTGAAGGACAAGATAAAAAAAAATGTTATTTGAAGAGATTCAATATGAGTATTTTCTAATTTAACTAGTAGAAATAAATTGAATATTATTTTTGGATTGAAACAAAGCTCCATTGTAACTGAGTTAGGCTTAACATTGCCTTACTCAAGGAGCTCCAGAGATATATTGAGAAAATGCAAGCAAGGTGCTTACTGTAGAGCCTGCATGTAGGCAGCACTCAGTAAATATTAGCTATTATTGTTGGTTCAAAAAATACAACAAAGCAGCACAAAATATGGAGTAAAGGAAAAAAAACTACTGAGCATGAAATAGGGCTAAAATATACATGTACGCAAAGCTTGTTTGATAATTCTTAGTGTATTTACATGCACATGTACACACACACTCAGGAATTTTCTAATGCGGACTCCTAGGCTCATGCCTCTGTATTGTTCTTGTCATTGCACTATTTTTATACTATTCTCATAAACTAGAACAAGCTTATATTTTTCATTCCAAAGAGACATTGGGTGGTAGGTCTTAGCCAACAACAGAAAATAAACATGTGTTATCCCTGATGACCTTCCTTTTCTTTCTCTTGGATGATTGCTTTAATCTTAACAACTGTGATCATTTATGCCATCAACAAATGTTGGAGTAGTAACATTTTCCTTGTTGCCTAAGTCCAGTAAATAGCTGGCTTCACCACCCCTTCTTAATTGCTATTGATTGGAGGACAAATGATATCATGTGCTCAGACTGATCTATGAATAGGTGGTCAGGGCCATTCTGTAGAAACTTTGACAAAGAAAGTAAGAGGAGTTGACAAGGTACAGGGAATCTAGGCTCCATAAGTCAACTCAGAATCTTTACATCTCATCAGAACACCATCCCATTCTTGGCTATACTGCTCTACTCTCATCTTATGCAGCAACGGCAATAAGAAAATGTGCTTCTGTCTTAGTTAACCCCTCTTAGCTACCAAATTTAGTATTCCTGTCTTAGATGTATTTTTAGTACAAGGCAGTGATTCTTAAGCTTTAGAATGCATTAGAATCATCTGAAGGGATTGTTAAGACAGATTGATGGTTGCCACCCCCAGAGTTTCTGACTTAGTAGGTCTGGGGTGGGGCTTGAGAATTTGCATTTCCAACAAGTTCCTGGATGATGCTGATGCTGCTGGTCCCAGGACCACACTAAGAACCACTGATTTAAAGGAATAAATCTCTTACTTATGTGACAGATTAGGTGTTACTTTTTCCTTTGGAAAACCCATAAAGAAGAAAAATAAATAAATCCAAATGATCTGGAAGAGAAAGAACATGTACAATATTAAAATCAGGACAAATCTTGCAGAAAAATGGCAGAAAAAGCCAGCACTTCTGCCAAGACTTCATTGGGTAAAGATGAAGAAAATATGAGCATATGGCAGTGAAGAACAAAGCCAGGATTGGAAGTTAAGCTGCTTTATGTTCAGCAAATTTCTCTTTCCTCAGTTATTTGTTCTTCATTTGCAGTTATTTTTTCCTTTATTTGTGAGTGCTCAAATGTGGCGCAACTATAACAAACATTTTAGCACAAAGAATAGTTTTGTCCAGAAGGCAATGAGAAAGTGAATGCTCATATACTTAACCTTTTAGCTGAAAGATAGTATTAATACTACGTTATTGTTATCAACTATACTTCAATTTAAAAAATACTATGTTATCGTTTATCAACCAGCCTTGGCCATTCGGAGCTCACTAAACCTCTGTGCTCTTCAATTTTACATATAATCAGCAAGGTACACTCAGGTCATCTTTCCTTTTCTCTAGAACTACCCCCTCCAAATTATGAGTTATGAAAAGGCCATTATAGACCACACACTCTAAACTGTCTTTCCTATAGTCAAGGACTCAATGTATAGTTTGTGCTCATGAAAAAAGAAGCAGGCACACATTAATGATGAACCCAGGAGAGTTCACTGACATTGAAGAAGGGGGAAGCCTTGGGGCTCACCTGGAATTACAGGGGGCATCCAGGCCACTCTTAAGACAGTTGACTCTGTTGAGGGGTGGATGTGAGACCCCTGCCCTCCCAGCTGTCAACCTGGACTGGACATTTAGAATCTGTTTTTAATTAAACCTAGGAATGACCATGAAAAAAAAATCTATTTGCAATTAAACCTGGGAATGACCACAAAAAACCCAACCCCCCCCAAAAAAAATGAGTGGTGAGATGAAGAAATTTTAGTTCTTTGATGCTTTAAAAATATTTTTAAAGTTTTACATGCAAAAGATCTCTCTCATTTCTTAATGTTTTTGTTTATCCTTTTTAGATTGATTTTTCCACAGTAAAAAATATAATCACAGATAAACACGTAGTGTCTACTTTGCAAAGGTGGCGTCTAAATGTGCTGTGCTTGAATTTTCGTGGTTGTGTTCTCCGATTGAAAACTTTGAGATCAGTAAGTATGTTCATTACAACTGTTTGTCTTGCTTTCCTGTATTTTAAAATGGAAACTTCAATTACCGCCTTAGGCCATAAGAATGTCTATTAAAACTATTTAAAAGTCCTATAATATAGCCAGCTCTTGCTGGAGTGTATGCCCTGGGAGTTGGTCCTTTGGTCATTCTTATTGACTGCTTTTTTTTTTTTTTGTCTAACATTTTTCTATCTATATGTCATTAGTTTATCCACTAATAAAATACAATATAAGAACTTCTCATTAAAGAAATTCTAACAATAGACAGTAGAAGCAGATCTACCTTCATCTCCCTCAAACCCATTCACTTACCCCATGGTACTCAACATTATCAGTCTTTCTGTTTTTCTAAAATATATTTATGTATTTGTGATTAAAAATACACAATTTTAATTTTTAACATTAAAGGGATCATACTGTCTTATATTTTCTATTATATCTTGAAATCTTTTTATGTCAGTACATATAGAACTACAAAGTTATTTTCCCATACTATGGCTATACTGTAACTTATTTAACTTTCTTCCTATTGATGGACATTGAGGTTATTTCCAGTTTTTTCCAAGCTGTTTTGTGAAGTCTGTATTTAATTGTCTTAGTTCAGGCTGCTATAATAAAGTTCCATTTTGGCTGGGTGGCTTATAAACCACAAAAACTTATTTCTCATAGCTCTAGAGGCTGGAAGTCCAAGATCAGGGTGCCAACGTGGTTGGGCTCTAGTGAGGGCCTTGTTCTGGGTCGTGGACTTTTGTCTTCTCCCTGTATCCTCACATGGTAGAGAGCAGGAGAGAGCACTCTCTGGAATCCCTTGTGTAAGGGCACTAATCCTATTCATGAGAGTTCCACCTTAATTACATCCCAAAGGCCCCACCTCCTAATACCATCACATTGGGGGTTAGGATTCCAACATGTGAATTTTGGGGGGACATATGGGTTAACACATTGCATTAACCCATATGTCCTTTGAGGTACATTTTTAAGTTTCCATATGTATTTCTGGAAATGAGAGAAAAAATAGATTTCAAAAAGTACACATCCATGTTGACTTCAGATAATGAGAAAGAATGCCATGAACACATATAAATATCAACATGGATGGGTCTAAAGATATTAATGGACAAAAGCAAGTTGCAGAATGATATACATAATCTAATACCATTTGTATACAACTTTTCAATGTGTAAAATCATACCATACACTTTATATTTGGAAATAATTTCAATACTACATATTCAAGGGCACTTGTACATACACACACACACAGTAAAATATAAAAAGCATGCATGGGAATCAAAAGCCTCAAATGCAAGATAGTGGTTACCTCTAAGGTGGAGAGGGTTGAATGAAATGGGGAAGAGGTTCACAAGGGGTTTCAACTGTTATCTGTAATATTTTTTTAATTGAAAAAAGAAAAAACACAAAATGGAATAATTCTAATTGGTTATTGCTGGTGCTGAAGAAAGCAGTAGCTTTATATATGATGTTATTTTACCTGATCATGTATTAAACTATCTTCTTGGTTTTAAGTTTGTTGGTTGAATCTTTTAGGTTTTCTAGGTAGACTGTCATGTCATCTGGAAATACTAACAGTTTTATTTCCATTCATTCCTATTCTTGTATCTTTTACTTCTTTATTCAGTAGCAAGGATATGCAGCCATCTTGTCTTGTTCTTGAGTCCTTTTCTCATATTTTTAATGAGAATGGTGTTAATATTATTATATCTTTTAATTTCTGGGACACACCCTTCATAAAGATATAATGCTGCTCCATCTTTTACAGCAGCCATCTTATGCATGTTCCTCATCCAATCTGGTCATGTCTGCCTTTGGATTTTTAGGAACTATTAATTTCTGATCCACCAAGACCATTCCTTTCTGTTTTCCAAGGATATTATAGATTAAAAATCATTTATTTCTTGTAATTTGGGTAGGAGAGGAAAACTGAAACGTGCTTAGTCTGCCATCTTAAACCAATTTGTTACTTTTTTCTTCTTTTGCTCTCTCTCCTTGTGATTTGGTGACTATCTTTAGTGTTTTGTTTGGATTTTTTTTTCTCTTTTTGTGCGTAACTATTATAAATTTTTGGTTTGTGCTTACCATTAGGTGTATATACAGCAATCTTTATACATATTTGATTATTTTAAGTTCCTAATCTCTTAAGTTTGAATGCATTTTAACAACCCTGCATTTTTACTCCCTCCAAGTTTGTTTTTGACATCATAGTTTACATCTTTCGTTTCGTGCATCTCTTAACTACTTATTGTTGATATAGATTATTTTACTACTTTTGTCTTTTAAACTTCCTACTAGCTTTATAAGTGGTTGATGTGCTATCCTTACTGTATATTTGCCTTTACCGATGAGATTTTCTTCCTTTTGTAATTTTCATATTTCTAGTTGTGGCCTTTTCTTTTCCACTTAGTGAAGTCCCTTTAACATTTCTTGTAAACCCAGTTTCTTTCAGCTTTTGCTTGTCTATAAAACTCTTGATCTTTTCTTTGAATCTGAATGATAGCCTTGAGTAGATTATTCTTTTTCCTTTTATCATTTTAAAAATATCACGCCACTCCCTTCTGGTGTGCAGAGTTTCTGCTGAAAAGGCAGCTGATGGTCTTATAGGAGTTCCCTTGTTACACTGTTGACTGATACATATTACATCTCCCCATCATTCACCAACACTCCACCTCCTGCAGAAAGAAGCCCCAACATCTCACAGAATTTAGACAAGTAGATTCTCATTACTGAATTGCTTCTATTTGCTAGAGCCGGAGACTTGTTCAGATTTCTCAGAAACAGACGTTAATTGATCCAGGGCGTAAACTCCAGAGGAGGGGATGGTTAGTAAATGAATAATCTGAACTGTTTAATATCTTTCCCAAATAATCAAGAATTAGGTCAGAGTTGACTCAGGCTTAGGACTCAGGAGAACTCAGCTTGTAGTAAATCTTATTTACTTCAGAAAAATCAAAGAATCTTAGAACTAGGTGAAAAAAAAAAACACTTGGGTATTTGGATAAAAACTCAAGTGATATTTAAACATATGTGTTCAAATATGTAGATCTCAGGATTTTATTATTTTTGACTACCATAAAATATACTTTAAAAAAAATCTCTTGAATTTCATCACCTACTGAACAGAAGGAAGTTGCAAAGGCAAGTTATTAATCAATCAAGTATGAAGTTGGCAGAAAAGGTGGATATATGTATATGTATAACTGATTCACTTTGCTGTATAGCAGAAACTAACATAACATTATAAATCAACTATATTCCAATAAAAATTAATTTAAAAAAGAAATTAGCAGAAGAGGAGGTATCTAATTATTAATTCCATCACTGATCAACTACGCTTCCCTGAAAAAATATAAACTCTGATACAAAAAAAGAGCAAATTTTAAGCTTTTAAAAATGTATTTAAATTTTGGCCCTGGGAGATATTAGCAATTCTAAATGACTTACTTTTGGATGGTCTGGATCAATTTCTATCATGATGTGTTCCAGAGCTTTATTTTCAAATAGCTCCCTGGGAATGATCCTGAATATAAAAATAAACCAATAAAATTCCCAGCTAGCCTACAAAAATTAAACCAGAGAGTAACTTGGGCCCTTTCTCTGAATCAGATTTAATGCCCTTATTTCTTTCCAGAACCCTCACATTCCCACTGTGTGCCTCTGTCTTCCACTGAGGTCCCACCTGGCATTCTCCACCATCAAATCTTGGATGTTTTATTTAATATTCCACTCTGAGTGCTCATCAACAATAAGTGAATTTATTACATCTCTCTGGTAACACTTCAAACTTAACAGCTACCTTCAATACCTCATGTTGAACAATGTGAGAATTTGCATTGAGAAACAGTATTTCTAAGTCTCCACCCTGACCCAAACCATTGATAAAATGCGCATAGTGGTTAGAACCTTACAATCCAGTGTCATTTCCTGAACCACCAGCTCCAGCAATTGTTCCAGCTTCCCACTCTCTTGGTTTCCTATACATATTAATAGAATTAACTGACATGACCCAAAGATTATCACCTGCCCTCATAAGTGTTTCAGGAGAAAAAGCACATACTATTCTTTTAGTGTCTGTTTCTGGAAGTTCTGATGTGAGGTAGCCATGACTAAAGGTAACATTTAGAGTGCTCTGTATCCTTGCACAGTAGAAAGGACTTAGGTGGACCTGAATCCAGGCTCTGCCACCTGCCAGCTTTGTGGCTCTATCCAAGTTACCTACATACTAAGCCTTGGTTTCCTCATCTAGAAAAGGCAGATAATATTATGTACCTCAGAGGGATCTTGTGAGAATTAGAAATAGAATACGTGAAGCTCTTAGCACAGTGTCTGGCCTCTAATAGGTGTTTAAGAAATGTTCAAGGGAATTCCCTGGAGGACCAGTGGTTAGGACTTGGTGCTTTCACTGCTGTGGCCTGGGTTCAATCCCTGGTTGGGGAACTAAGATCCTGCAAGCCGCGTGGTGCAGCCAAAAAAAAAAAAAGAAATGCTTAATACTATTTGTTATTTACCACGTTCTATACTTTAGAAATTTGTACAAGTATAAGACCAGTTGTTAAACTTTGTATGAATACCTTGATATAAGAAATGGAAATATATTCAACTCAGTGAAAAGAAAATCTGCATAAAAAGGAAAAAGTGGTATTTCTAATGATATGTACATATTTCTTTGCATTTTATTTTTCTAATAGTACAGTACTATCAAAATACAAACTGATGGGGTCAGTCTCCAGACACTTCCTCTCTTTCTGGTTATTGTTTCTCCAGGTGAGTTAATTTTAACCTGCAACGCAAATCATGGGGCTTCTCTTGGGTACCACCTCTGCCCTCAGTTGCTTCTGATATCACTTCCCTTTTTGTTTGCTTCTTTTTCATCCCAAATCCTGACCCTGAATCCTAATTTCATCCTGTTTTATGTTCCTTGACATATTAGCTTAGCAGGAAGGGCTCTCAGATCCTTCCCACTGACAGGTGGCTTCCTAGTCTGAACTCTGTTAAAAACCCAGTGCTGTTTCCACATTTACTAGTGTTTATACCTGTTCAGAGCTCATGTTCACATCATCTACAACTGCTTCTGAGAGTCCCATCTTCTGAGCCGTCTCTAATATAATTCTCAGATTCTTGGCTTATTGCCTGTGGCAATTCTCCTTCAGGTCTAGCTTGACAGTTTTTTGCAAGGATCAGTGAAAAGTAGTTGAGAATTTGGGTTTACCAGGACCTCATTTTGGAGTGCACAGGAATCAGAAATGGAAATTTATTCAATGCACAAGCTGACTTACTGGAAAAAAAAAAAAAGTTGGGGGGCAGAGGGGAGAGAATTACATTTTATTATTACTAAGCATTTGTATCTCTTCATTTTGATCATCTTTAGGTATGTGCAAGCAGCTCTTGAAAAGCATATAAAAATGAACCAGGTTTTTTTAATTTTCAAAAAGCAGTAAAAACATTTATACAGAACATTATGACCTCCTAACGCCATCATTAGGACCCAACTCCTGCAGGTTACCAGTGTGGAGTCACCATCAAAAGCTGTTCTGCAGGCAGGCAAGCAGCATGAGAGTATTCCCCTGATTACTATACTGTGACAACAATAATAATAATTAAGGGAACCTTCCTTTAGCTGGGTAACCTCGCCTAAACAGGTAAAACAGTTAATCAAAATCTAAACATGCGGTTTTCCAACACCAGTTTAGCAAATACAAAATTAGCTGCAACCAGAACAATTTCTAAGTTATCCCACAATAGTGATTCTTACACTTTGTTTCTTTGCTGTGTGATCCTTATGTATTTTTTCCCATTCATCATCTTCTGTATCCTGGTCAAATGTTTCAGGGTATGCTGGTAATTTGTCTTTGGGGCATTCTTCATAGTAACTCCGAACATATTTTCCCACAAACCACCCTTTGTATTCTTTGGGCATTTTGCACTCCAGGCCATTATAGTGCACGTTGTAGTGATGCATTAACCAGTAGTAGAGGTAGTGGATGTTGTAGTCACATCTCCAAGGGTTATCTCTGAGCCACAAGAGTTTCAAAAAATACAAGTCTTCTAATACTCCATAGTCAAAGTTTTGCAGACTGTTGTTTGATAAATCTAACTCTTCTAAATGTGTGAGTCCTAAAAAAGCAGCTAGAAACAGAAAATATTTATTAAACCAATTGGGTAATTGGGTTAAGTGCACTGTATATTATAAGGACAAATTTAAATTAAAAATAAGAGAGTTAATTCTCTCTATTGAAAATAAAGGAAAAGATTTCCCTCCCCGCCTTTTTCTCAGCGTTTTTACTTTAGAAAACTTGCAAGTACGTTCTCTTCTCTTTGAAATGTGTATAAATCCTTTAGAAGACTTGCAAGTACTTTCTCTTCTCTTTGAAATGTGTATATATCCTTTAGAAGACTAAAGAGGCCTTTTTCAGCTTTATGAGGATCGTCCTTCTTAAGAACCTGGGAGCCATCTCTTTGAAATGGAAACATCAAGGAAGAGAACACCTGTCTCCCAGTTTCTGTGGAGGGGTAGGAGCCTTCTTCCAAGTCACAAAATTACCTCTTGTCATAAAGATAGAAGTTTGTTTTCCTCTTGATAAAGCCAATTAGCTAACACAGATGCCAACTCACTTGCGAGTAAGGTTAGAATGAACAATGTTTGACAAACGGTGCTGTCAAGTCTTCTTACTTAAGAACTAGCTATTATTTATCCTGAAAACACGTATGTATTAGGTTGTATCTGCTTGGCTATACAGAGGGTGAGATTTCTGTCTCTGCAATCTCTTAGCAGATTGCCTGTGATGTACATCACATTCTAGTTTAATGCTTATTCAATAATAAAAGAATCTTCTTTCTCTTTACCATTGTGGAGAGGATTTCTGTGTTGGGTGAAGACTTCGGTTTTAATTATATTTCCCTAACAGTATACATGTCTAAATGCAAAATTCTGAAATATGTTTTTACTCAGACAAAGCTTTCCCCTTGATTAAATTGACTAGAATACAATATTTTATTTGAAAAATCAGTTTTAAGTTAGCTTTGTAAAAATGTACTTTGTGCTCATGTGCATTTTTTAATACTCACTGGAAAGATGCCACAAAAAAGGCATGAATTAGGAAAATATCTCAAATGTAAGACATAAGTGCATAAAAAATGAGAAACGTGTTTGGGGGTGATTTGACAGCTCTCTGGGATATAACTCTGAAAATGCCTAGAAAATAGCCGTTTCCCAGTTTCCTTCCCAGGGGGAAGGAATTATATTCTTGTATTGTCCAAAACCAAAAAAATGTTTATCAACATTTTTAAGACATCTGGTTGTATTTTGGCAAGCTATGGTAGCTATCAGCTTTGAATCCATATGTATTTAATTCTGCTGGAGGGTGGATAATTAAAACAAATAGCAAACACATAACACAAAATAATACAACAGAAAGCTTTTTTTTCCCCTCTGAGAGTAAAGAAATCTAAACCTAAATTATCCCTACTTCAGTTGATGTAAACTGACCAGCTACTCTAGAATTTACAGGTCAATGCTGATTTCAAATATTTTGTTTCTGTTTCAAACATTTTCTCATTGCTCTTTTAAAATACTCTCCTCAGAGCATACAGTGCCCTTATTTTGAATTTGAAAAATATGCTCTCAAACTAATACCATTAACTATTTTCATATCATTTGTTCTCAGACAAAACCCTTAATTCCCCCTAAAAGAAGTCTATTTTGGTGCAAAGCAATGACTTGGGTCATTGGGAGAGGGGAGCAGGTGGCTGGGGAGGAGCAAAAGGTCAGCCCTTGCAATGATAGTTCTGAAGACACTGCATTTTAAAAAATTTGCAAACATTTTGTGAGTTAATGATCTCACAATTTTCTTTTTCTTTCTTTCTTTTTTTTTTTAGCGGGATGCGGGCCTCTCACTGTTGTGGCCTCTCCCGTTGCGGGGCACAGGCTCCGGACGCGCAGACTCAGCGGCCATGGCTCACGGGCCCAGCTGCTCCGCGGCATGTGGGATCTTCCAGGACCAGTGCACGAACCCGTGTCCCCTGCATTGGCAGGCGGACTCTCAAACACTGCGCTACCAGGGAAGACCTCTTTTCTTTTTAAAAAAAAAATTATTTATTTTTGCCTCCGTTGGGTCTTTGTTGCTGCATGCGGGCGAGCGGGGGGCGGGGGAGCGGGGGAGGGAGGATTAGACACTTGCCCAGGGACCCGAGACAGGCATGCTTGTCTTGCAGTTCTTTGGTTCTCATTCAGCAAAAGAGGATCTCCACCTCCAGATTCTTCACCCTGTGGCCTGGCTTTGTGGAGACCGGCTACCAGTGACTGACCTGCACACTAATACAGTGATCGCTTCGTTTGGGAGAAGAGTATCTCTATAGTATTCTTATTCAATGTAAAATGAAAATTGCTTTTGATCTCAAAATTTGAAGATACTCCCAAGTTTACACTATCTGTACAGGCTAAGGTATGAGTGTAGCATATTGCTGCTCCTTTCAAAGTTTTTAAAAATTATGATTTCTTAATATTTACAAATGTTATTAATACTAAAATATGCCTTGGTAGCTCTAGAATATTCAGTTTTTACTTCTACAATGTTAAAATCCTAATGTTCTGTTAATGGTATTAAATTACCTTTAAGAAAACAAGAAACAATTGTACTCAAAATGTTTATGACATTAACATTGCACTATTAATAGTAGTAATACACATTTTTAAAGACAGAGCTTTTCAAATTATGAACGCACTGCGAAGGCACAAATATTATGTACGTTACAAATCTGATCAACATTGCAGTAATTCTCAGTTCTTTCTAGAATTCAGTGAGTTAACTTACCATGCTCATTTTTGTCAGAGGCTTTGCTTAGCAAATGGAGAAGAGATTTGAAGGATGGAAAAGAGAATTGATCTTGATTTAGGATTAGATAAAATCCCTCTGGCTCTAGTTTGAGCACATTTTGTCTTCATTTATGAGCACACTAGATCTTTTTTTTTTTTTTTTTATTGCGGTACGCGGGCCTCTCACTGTTGTGGCCTCTCCCGCTGTGGAGCACAGGTTCCGGACGCACAGGCTCAGCGGCCATGGCTCACGGGCCCAGCCGCTCCGCAGCATGTGGGATCTTCCCGGACCGGGGCACAACCCACGTCCCCTGCATCGGCAGGTGGACTCTCAACCACTGCGCCACCAGGGAAGCCCTAGATCTTAATTTTATGAGCTTAATTTATTCTGCTTAGCAGATTGTTTCAAATTTACTTTAAACAAGTTAAAGTCTTACTTTAAATAAGTTTGGACTTAATGAAAAGCAAAGAAAATGCCAGATCTGAATTTCCTTTTAAAAATCACGACATGTTTAGCATATTACTGACCACTAGCCACATACCCTATATATATATTTTTTGGCTGCTTTGGGTCTTCATTGCTGCGTGCGGGTTTTCTTTAGTTGTGGTTAGCTGGGGCTACTCTTTGCTGCGGTACGCGAGCTTCTCATTGTGGTGCCTTCTCTTGTGGCGGAGCATGGGCTTTAGGTGCGCAGGCTTCAGTAGTTGTGGTGCGTGGGCTCTAGAGCGCAGGCTCAGTAGCTGTGGTTCAGGGGCTTAGCTGCTCCGTGGCACGTGGGATCTTCCTGGACCAGGGCTCGAACCCGTGTCCCCTGCATTGTCAGGTGGATTCTTAACCACTGTGCCCCAGGGAAGCCCTAGCCATATACTCTTATTTTTAAAATATATTCTACAAAACACTTCTTTTATTTGGACCAACTGAATAATTGTTGCTTATTACATACTTCATAAAGCAACAGTTTGGCAAATATTTCTGAGGGCCAAGCAAGTTCTACTATAAGCATCATGCTTCATTTAAATTCAAACTTCTTACTAGTTTTTTAAAAACTAAATTGTATTTACTATAAATGTTGCCATAATAAAAAAACAGAGAACACGTGTCACCTGTTTAAAGGGCTATTCTGTGGAACTTACCGGGATCTATGAATTGAATGCCGTTGCTGCTGAGGCTTAATTTCTTTAGCTCATGAGCATCTTCAAACTCCTTGGGTCGAAGCTGGTTGATTTTGTTGTGTGACAAGTCAAGTTTAACAATGTCTGGAGGGATGTTGTTTGGAACTTTCTTCAACTCTGGAAAAAATAAAAATGTTCAGGTTATCAAGCTCTCCTCTTGCCCCCATTTGCTCTATCACTCTTATCCCTGTGTGACTGAAGAGTCAGCTCTTGAAGGGAAAAAGGATATCCCATCTAAAGCCGAAGAACATTACTATATGAACAAGCCTTAGAATATGCTAAATTCCACCAAAGCCCAGCGAACCAAGTGCATCACACTTAGAGGAGCAGATATCACTCCTTGCTGAACTGTTCTGAGAAACTTCCTAGAGGCAGCAAGAAATCAAGAGCAGGACAGCAGGCAGTGCAGCTCAGCTGGCTGGGCATCAGGCAGTGGGTGGGGCTCAAGCCTGGCCGCCTGTTAGAATCACCTGCGACGCTCTTAAAAACAGAAAGCTGAAACAAAATGAAACACACAAATCAAACCACTCTTCCTGCCTCCCCTCCCATTCCCTTCCCACTCCTCTAAGAGCTTTCAGTATTTATTATTGCCTCTTTGTTGCATCTTCCTTTTATCCCTCTCCTCAGACTCCTTCTGTTAACAAATAAGCACAGATCTTGCCATCCTAAAAAAGAAACAAAAAGCCCTCCACCCTGATGACCCTCAGGCTGTTACCTCATTTCTCCTTTCCTTGGATGCTAAAATTGGAGAAAGAATAATCCTCATTTGCTCCCCCTGCTTCCTCATCACCCACTTATTCCCTGAATCCTTGTGACTTAATTTATACTCCACCACTCCTCCCTGACTCTTCCCAAGGTACTGAAGTAATTGGACTCCTCAGGAGAAACAGTAATAATAGTGCTGCTATTACTGCTACTACTACTACTACTACTACTACTACTGAGTCAACAATGACTACTACTACAAAAAAGCCTCTGGAAGAGGAGCCCAGTTATTTTTCATAGGTTAATAGGAAATCAAGGTTCACCTAATTTATCTCTTACTATTTATATTTGTCTTTAAATCATGCTTTAAAATACTATAAAGTGTGTTTATTTTATAGTTTAGCATAATACTTGCCCTTTCTTTTAATCTTTAGCAAAATATTCTGAAAAGGTTTTATTCAATTTTAAGTAGGGCAAGTGAAGCCTGTGAAGAGAAACAAACCTGTTCAGACAAAAGAAAATTAGAAGCAACAAATAAAATGTCCAGATTAGTTCACACCTGAGAAACAGCATGACCCGAAGACTTTCTGAATAGGTAGAAATTCCTTGAACTAGGTACAGTAAGTTTATGAAAGGTGGTATCCATTTATCCATAATTCCCTTTTTGCTATAGAATAATTGACTTACTGATAATGTTTTCCAAATATTTTTTAAAAACCCCTTCTGGTATATATGATTTCTTAACTCATAGTATGTTTACTTTCATAAAGACTCAGTCTTATATCCCCCCTTCTTTTAACAGCTCAGAATCCACGGTTAATGGGATGGTATTGGTAGTTCCTTCTTTGGTATCCTTATTACTGTTAAATTTGCTTTTTCTTCTTGATGGGATCTTCGTATCTTAGTACCTATGTACAAGAACTTTTTCTAGGTGCCCTAACAAGTATTATGTGACAAGAACCCTATGAGCTAAGTACATTATCCCCATTTTACAGATGAAGAAACTGAGGCACAACTTGCCCATAGTCACACTCTAGGATTTTTTTTTTTTTTTTATAACACCCAGGCTCAGCGGGTATAAAGGGAAGCAGCTGACAATTTTGCTCCTGTACCTCTGCCTTGAGTGTTTGGGGTTGTTTTTTGTTTTTTAACATCTTTATTGGAGTATAATTGCTTTACAGTGGTGTGTTAGTTTCTGCTTTATAACAAAGTGAATCAGTTATACATATACATATGTTTTCATATCTCTTCCCTCTTGCATCTCCCTCCCTCCCACCCTCCCTATCCTACCCCTCTAGGTGGTCACAAAGCACCGAGCTGATCTCCCTGTGCTATGCAGCTGCTTCCCACTAGCTATCTATTTTACGTTTGGTACACACTCTAGGAGTTAAACACAGACATGCTAGCCCCCAAAACTATGCTTCTAACCACTATGCTCTGCTGCCTATTCATGGTACCTTTCTGCTTCACTTACGCTGTTCCATCTGCTTAGAATCCTCAAGCTTGTCATGTAGGGTTAAGTGGGGATTGGGGAGCAACTGGGGTGGGGGTCAATATATTGGAATGGCCATAAGACCTTTCTGGCTCTGTATTTAAAATGACATCTCCCTGCTTTCAAGTAGGCAAAAACAGCAATGATAATACCATTTCCTGCTTTTTCTCAATGGCAGTTATCAGCATCAGGCGCAGGGTACATCTTACTGATTTTTTTCATTTTTGCACCCTCCTTGCCATGGAAGCTTCCTGAGGGAAGTTTAGAACAGTGCCTAACATATCATAAATAAATAAGTGGTATGTGGCAGCCAGCTTCTAAAATGTCATCCAACAATCTCCTCTACTGATATTCATGCCCTTGTATAAACTCTTCCCCTTAAGTATGGGCTGAACCTAGTGACTTGCTTCTAATAATAGAATGCAGCAAATATGATAGGAGCTCACTTCCATAATTAGGTTATAAGAAATTGTGACTTTTGTCTGGCTAGCAGACTCTCTTTTGCTGGCTTTGATGAAGCAAGTTGCCATTTTGGAGAGGCTCACATGGCAAGTAATTAAGGTTGGCCTCTGGCCAACAACCAGCAAGGAACTCTGGCCCTCAGTCCAACAGTCCTTGAGGAACTGAATCCTGCCAGCAGTCATATGAGCTTGGAAGAGGATATTTTTCCAGTTGAGCCTTCAGGTGAAACCACATCTTATTGCAGCCTTGTGAGAGATCCTGAAGTAGAGGACTCAGCTAACCCATATCTGGTTTCCTGACCTACAGAAACTGTGAGATAATAAAGTGTGTTGTTTTAAGCCACAGAGTTTTGGGGTAGTTTCTTAGGCAGCAACAAAGTTATCTAACTAACATATGGGAAATAATGAGCTCATTAAATGTGTTGAGTTTAATGATTCAGGAATATCGAGCCCTCTTGTAATAAAAATGCTTTGAAAATTTGGATTGATTTTATTTCCATCCTCCGATAAGACGTTGTTTTCTTTGACCTAGAGTTGTGTCTGCCAACATATAGAAAGGTGAAAGATTTTAAGACTTGAACTTATTATAATGTTGCAACGCTGAGGTAATCCTCCCTTTAGGACCAGCAAGACCCTGACTGGAGAGCTATATTCTCTCTTGGGCACTACATGTAAACAAGGAGATGGATATCCCAGGAAAAAGTGAAAACCACAGAGACACTTGAGGACAGGCAGAAGAAATAATTTCTTGACATTTAGCATTTGGAATAATTATTGAGAATGGCTGTAGCATTTTCTTAGAAGATTTTTAAAAGAGGAATAGAGCTTTATTTCAAAATACCCAGGATCCCACCTCTCCTCTCTTCCTTCACTGCTACCACATTGGTCCAAGCCACCATCACCTCTTGTCTGGATTATCCCAATATTGTCCTAAGCCCAGGTGATCATGTTAAAACATGTGAGATCCTGTCATTTTACCAGATGGCTTGCCATCCTCCAGATGGCAGAACCCTTTCATTGCTTCCCATCTCACTATGAATAAAAGCCCAAGTCCTCACCAAGGCCCTACAAAGCCATTAAGGGCTGTAGGTCTTCCTTGCCACCAGAGTTAGTATCTCCTAGGTCCTGGAAAACAGCCTATTTATCAGTACTTGCTTGCTGAACCCACATCTGCTGGGCTGGACATGAGGGTGAATGACAAGCAACCACTGTAGGACATGAGGGTGAGTCCCAAGCAACCATTGTAGGACAAGCTAAAGTGAGTTAACCACAAATAAATAGGTAGAAAAAAATGTTTATGAGAACACCCTGAAACCCAGCTTAAGCAATGTGGCAGACCTGTGGAAGAGGAATATGAACTGCAGAACCAACTTTGGCATTGTTACCAGCAGACCTGAGTAAAAATAGGATCCACAAGTAATACCAAGAAATGCAAACCAAAGCCTTTACTAGTAGGCTTAGAAAAACATGGAAAAATCTTATTTGTTGTATTGATGAGTAAAAACAGTTCTTTAGTTTTTAACCTTAAACTTGAATGAGAAATGCAAATGTTGATGTGAAGTATGTTTGTCTTTGATAAAGATTACACAAATACAAATTTCCCCAGACCAGAAGTCAAATTTGGTCAATGTCCCCATTTCTAGACCAGGCACCACACGGTTATTTGCTGCTATCTGAGATTTTGGTAAACCTTCAACGAATATCATATTTACTTGATTATCACCCCTGGCAAGCATTGCCTGTCCCCCAACCAAACCTTGCTGATTTTGAGGAGGAAATTGGGAAATTTTTTCCATGTAATTTCTCATTTAGTAGGCTACCCTGATTGTCAGCAATGTCAGAACTACTCTTAAGGCTTGGTAGTGGTAGGTAAAGAGATATAAATGGCCCTGTGTATTGCAAATAAAAGGTTCTTAATTATTGTTCAAACTAATGGTGAAAAAATTATCTTCAGAGGCAGCTGGGAGCAATTTATGGTCATAATTCTCCACAGCCCTAATCTTAGAAGTAAAATAAATCCTTAAAATGGTAAATTATTCTGGTAAATGTGAAGCTAAAAAGCAGTTTTAAAACTCTCTCATGTATTTTTGGCAAATCCATCCATCTCAATATGGCATAAACATGGCTTTCAACTAATCTCACATTTATTCCCTTTGAAAGACTAAGTTTTGTTGGCAAAGTGCCTGTCACCCAGTGAATAAAGCTATTGTTTCTTTTTCTTGCTGTCAGATGTTTCAGGCAAAAATAGTGATCTTTGAGGTCTATGTGGTCAAAATGGCATGTATTAGGTACCCTACACACGCCATCTGACTCATCGTCTGTCAGCTGGGAAACACACAACTAATTCCCGAGTTAAGGGAATCTGTATTCGGGTTCCTTGAGTGTGATCATGTACATGATGAATTGTACAGAGCTTAAGAGGAGGGTTCAATACTGGAAGGAAGCACCCAGAAGGCTTTTATATATTCTTCTTGGTTAATAGGCATACCCAGAATCTTGAAGGAAGAGAGGACAGTGCATGGTGGCCAATGGCTTGGGAACTGCTTAGGGATTGCCTATGTGATCTTCAAACGGCAACCTAACTTCTCTACTCCTCAACTTCTTCCTTCCTAAAATGAGGATAATACTAGTATTTCTTTTAAGGTTGTGAAGAGTAAATGACAATGCATGAAACTGCTATGTCTTAGGCACACAGAGCATTTAGATGGCAGCTCTCATTAATATCACTGCTAGTTCCACTCTTGATGGCATGTTTTAGGCTTCTTTAGATCCTACATAGTGTCCAACATGTGAGCACAATCAAAAGTATTACTACCCTCTGGCAGGCAGTTAGAGATGAACACTGCTGAACATTTATTCTCAGTATTTGACATTTATTATCTAGTTATAGAATGGGGTAAGGAAAACTACAATGGATAAAATTCAGTGTCATACTTGAGTTCCAGCCATGATTTTTAACTTCTATATATTTTTATGTTTAAAAGTTGCTTAAATTACTGCTCTGTAAGAGCAAAGAAAGCAGCTCAATTATTATCATCAATCTAAAGAACATGGCCCTGTGCCAGGCAGTACCAAAGGGAATTTAATAGAGAAGACCTTTGACTTTAAACTTATGGGAATCAACAATATATCAAAAAATGAAAAGTAAATTATCAGCTGAATCAATAGACTGATATCAACCATAGTGAGAGTGATTTATATTGATGATATTAAAAGACACAACTACCCTTCATTTTATAATCTAAAAAGTATAGGCTCTGATTTACGTCGTCACTAACAAGTGGAGGACCTTGAGTTGTCCTTTAGTGTTAGTATATATGTACTAACTGTGCATGTCATATAAACTTTATTTATACTGTTTTCCAGTAAATCATGTGTTTTTAAAGCATGAAGAATGAATTTATGGGGCATGTCTGGAAGGTTGTGTTTAGACAACAACAGTAACTTGAGGAAGGAGAGCAATAAAAAATATATTTGTATTTTTATAAGTTGATTTTTGACAAGAAAAAAGAGAAAAATATCATGGAAAAAAAGACAAAGGCAGAAATAGGCTCACTGGAGAGGGGATGGCCAGAGTAGAAAAGCAGTAAAAAAGAACGTTATTTCCTACTATGTTATCTTTTCTTAAATTACAGTGTGGTATAGCTGTAGAAATCTTCAATTTTGTGTTAATAGCATTTTTCTCAGATAATTAATGAGCTTAACTCTACTATTTTCTCTTTGTCACCTGATGCAGCAAGTGCAAATTAACTTTAGCTTGAGGATAGAACCTTAGCGATATCAAGCAGGTTTTCTAACTCAAGTCTAGGAATAGTAGCTTTGTATTAGTTTTTAAAATATATAATTCAAGTTTTTAAGCATCACAAAGGAAATCCTAGTAAAACATGCTCTTTGTCATGAAGCACCAAGTACTCACCGTTAACGGTGTTAGGGAAATTCCACCCAATCTGGCTACAGAGAAACTTCACGTACTGACTTCTCTGCAATTCTTTAATGCTTTCTTTGTTCCAGCTGCTTGTTTGAACATGGTTAGATTAATTATGGATGCCAGCAGGCTCAGGTGGACCAAGTTTCAAATCTTAGTTTTGCTGCTTACCTAATGAGACCTTGAGCAACTGACTGAACCTCCCTTAGCCTCATTTTCCTCAACTGTAGATGGGGATACTATCATTACTACCTTGTTAGCAGCTGTAGACAGCATGTGTGTGGAATACCTGGAGCATAGTAGGTTCTCAATTAATGAGCACTTTCTCTCAAACTCAGAGGATCCCATAACGGCATCTCCCAGGTTATGATACTGTAATTGCTCTACTCTAGCATCAACGATATATAATTCACAGTGTCACAGTAAGCAAACCTTTTGGTGTCATGTAGTCGTGGTGTGATCTAACCAGGTGTCACCTTCCACAGTCAGAGAGAGGTAGCAAGTCTTGAGCAAGACTTCGCTGATAAATGAACAAATTTATTCCTGCTTCTTCAAATCCACAGATTCCTGCCTATGGTTTCCTTGAGAGGAGCCAGTCTCCATGTTCCTCTTAACCTTTCCTTTCTGTTCTTAAAACAAACCCTCCTAAAATAACTGGAAGGAATGATACCATGCTCTTTATGACCCTAATTCAATGGCATCTGGCTTTAATTTAATATTACATATAAGTTATTAACCCATGACAGAAATGAAACAGACACTCAAATGCCTTGTTGTCCTAGGATAGATTAGCGGTGCCCAGACCACACTTTGAGAATGTCTTCACTAACATGTCAAGAGCCTTACTGAAATCTCCCATCTGTTTTCTTATTTCATGTATTTGTCCTGTATGCACAAATCCTGCACACTACTTGCCCAAGATTGTGTGCGATGTAAAAGCAAGTAATGATTTGCAGAAAGTAATATTCTAGAAAGCTATTCTTAGTCTCATAGTTCTTGGATTAATACTTTCAACTTAGTTTTTTTTCAATATTCTTAGGTTTTATTTTGGATAATTTGGGAACAATTAAGATACAGGATGTTAGCAAGCGTTTTTGAAAACCTTGAGACTAAATTATAAGAACTACAGACATGCCATCACTACAGCCCACTTGGCTTCCTTCTCCTGGTGTTCTCACCTGTCCTGCTCTGCACATGGTTTTCCTTGAGGTTATTATCTCCCCACAGATGCATACCATGTTTTGGATTTAATTGGTGTAAATCAGGTTATACGGAAAAAACTAGCACTTGATTTCATACCCACTGGTTTACCTACATCAGTTAAATTACATTGGATTTAAAATTAAAGAAATTTCTTACAGCCACAGCTTGCGATGAGCAAATAAGTGTAAGACCCAAATGGCTGCCCCTCCTGAGCATACCTCCTACCCTCCTCTAATGTTCCCCAAATCACTAACCATCTTGAGCTCGGAGTAAATTCCATTGTCACTGGGGAAAGATTTCTGGTGGAAATGCTCCCAAAATTCTAAGTCATGGTGGGATGCAGAGATTCCTAAGATTCAGAAAGCATTTTTAATCATCCATGAAAATGAAAAAGTAAGAAACTTACAAACCTTTTCTTTTGCAGTCCAGTGTTCGTATAGGAAACACATAGTTGTGGCAAAGAGAAGAGTCCACCTCAGGCTTGATGACTGGGGGTTTCCCTGACACTTGGGGTTTTGGATCCAAATGTTCCTTTTCTTCTTCATTACACAACTGTTCAGATTTTATCTGCCTCAGTTTTTTATTTTTTAGTCCTTGTGGGCTTTCACACTTGGCGTAGTTCCCCAAATTCCGGTTCCTTGGAATCTGCAACATTGAAATAAGCGTTTCCATCTCACAAGTACAATCCCAGGGATTGTCATAGAGACGCAGGTAACTCAGGAGAGGTGTGTAAATGAACACTTCCTCTGTCAAGACTTTGATCTGGTTGTGCTGCAGTAAGAGAGTGGTAAGTTTATTTAAACCAAAGAAAGTCTCACTCTCAATTTTGGAGATCTCATTCTGTTGTAAATCCAAGCTTTTCAGCTTTTTAAACTTGGAAAACATGTTGTTCTTCAGTACGCGGATTTTGTTTCTTGCTAATAGCATGTGCAGCAAATCCTGAGGCCAGCCGGGCAGCACATAAACTAGTTTTCTCTCTTGACAATCTAAGTATTTCTCGTGAAGATATGCGTACACTTCGCAGGGGAGGCCTGGAGCGTAGCGTTTGACCAGGCTGGAGCCCTTCCGGCTCCCACCAGCCCGGCTGTGATTCACTCGGTTTCTCGCACCCCCAGGGCTTCCTTTGCGCTCAGCGGCTTTACAAAAGAAGAGCAGGATTAAGATGGTTACCACGCGCATCCTGACATCCAGCTGGCCCCAATTACTTGGTGTGACAGATGGAACAATGAAAGTATTCCTTTGAAATCCACGTTTGGGTAATCTTAACTAATGCAGTTCAGGAACAATGAGGCCCAGCTGAGGCACGGTGGAGTCCCTAGATTGCAGGAGGAAAAAATATTTAGAGACCATTGTGAGCAACGCAATTGACAAATAATAGCAAGTTTTCAAGTTACTTTTATTTTTAAGCAAAGGCATTCCGTTAATAAAGGCACATGCAGAAGAGTGGTGTAGAAGGCTCCACACCCTCCTACTTGCCTGGTTTGGTGGCTAAATGTTTGGGCCCTGAGTGTGAATCAAGGCTCTTCTACTTGCTGAACTGTGTGACCTCAGGCTAATTATTTAACCTCATCTTCAGCATCTGTAAAGTGGGACTGAGGATACCTCTAGTATTGTTGGGAAGATGAAACAGGCTCATGTGCATCAAACACTTCACAGTGCCTGATCCAGGGGAAGTACTCCACATTGTTAGGACTTAGCATTATGAAAACTGAAACTGGATTCAAGAAATTAAAGGGATTCTCCTTACAGCTTTGAGATGTGCAAATCAGAGTAGGACTCCAATGAATGTCCTCCTGAGCTTATTTTTTTCTTTCCTTTACTGTCTCCCAATCACCAATCATGTTGAAGGTGGGCTCCAGAAATGCTCAGGGTAAACTGCAACTGTCCTTGTCATTTCCTGCACATCTTGGCTTAAATGTCACCTTCTCAGCAACACCTTCTCTGATTGCTCTATTTAAAAGTAGTACCCCTTCCCACTCGCTGGTCACCCTCTACTCCGTTTCTGGTTTTATTTCTCTCCAGGGCACGTATCACCATCTGTCAAAATAGATATTTTGCTTCTTTTGTTTATTGTCCTTCTCCCCCAACTAGGATGTAAACTTCGTAAGGGCAGGAATTTTTCTCTATTTTGTTCACTGCTGTATTTCCAGCACCTGTAGAGTTTCTAGCACATAGCAGGTTCTTGATAAATATTTGAATTGCATGAATTCAGGTAACCACTCTATAAAAATATTAATAATATCATAAATTTAGTTATTATATTTTTTGGTATCTATTCTTCCCTTAAGTATTACTGATGACTTCCAAGAGCCGCACATTTTTTTTTAACATCTTTATTGGAGTATAATTGCTTTACAATGGTGTGTTAGTTTCTGCTTTATAACAAAGTCAATCAGCTATACATATACATCTATCCCCATATCTTCTCCCTCTTGCGTCTCCCTCCCACCCTCCCTATCCTACCCCTCTAGATGGTCAGAGCACCGAGCTGATCTCCCTGTGCTATGCGGCTGCTTCCCGCTAGCTATCTATTTTACATTTGGTAGTGTGTATATGTCCATGACACTCTCTCACTTCGTCCCAGCTCACCCTTCCCCCTCCCCGTGTTGTCCTCAAGTCCATTCTCTACGTCTGTGTCTTTATTCCTGTCCTGCCCTTAGGTGCTTCAGAACTTTTTTTTTTAGATTCCATATATATGTGTTAGCATACGGTATTTGTTTTTCTCTTTCAGACTTCACTCTGTATGACAGACTCTAGGTCCATCCACCTCACTACAAATAAGTCAATTTCATTTCTTTTTATGGCTGAGTAATATTCCATTGTATATATGTGCCACATCTTCTCTATCCATTCATCTGTCGATGGACACTTAGGTTACTTCCATGTCCTGGCTATTGTAAATAATGCTGCAATGAACATTGTGGTACATGACTCTTTTTGAATTATGTTTTTTTCACGGCATATGCCCAGTAGTGGGATTGCTGGGTCATATGGTAGTTCTATTTGTACTTTTTTAAGGAACCTCCATACTGTTCTCCATAGTGGCTGTATCAATTTACATTCCCACCAACAGTGCAAGAGGGTTCCTTTTTCTCCACACCCTCTCCAGCATTTATTGTTTGTAGATTTTTTGATGATGGCCATTCTGACCATTGTGAGGTGATACCTCATTGTAGTTTTGATTTGCATTTCCCTAATGATAAATGATGTTGAGCATCCTTTCATGTGTTTGTTGGCAGTCTGTATATCTTCTTTGGAGAAATGTCTATTTAGGTCTTCTGCCCATTTTTGGATTGGGTTGTTTATTTTTTTGATATGGAGCTGCATAAGCTGCTGCTGCTTGTAAATTTTGGAGAGTAATCCTTTGTCAGTTGCTTCGTTTGCAAATATTTTCTCCCATTCTGAGGGTTGTCTTTTTGTCTTGTTTATGGTTCCCTTTGCTGTCAAGAGCTGTACATTTTTAAGAATTGTTTTCATCTTTAAAATTCTGAAATTGGTTTTGGTTTGTACTTATTACTTAGGACATAGCCCATTCTTGGCAGAGACAGAAATATTCAAAATGGATTTATAATTAATAACATTTCTGTTGTTATTGTCGTGGGGCTCTTTGGTTATAACTGGCAGATGTGTTTCCTATTCATTGTAGCAGTGTGAATGCCAGGATCACCCCCTTACCTGGAGTTTTCCTGCTTGTACAGGTCTCCTCCATCTAGAATGCCTTTCCCCTTCTTTGCCCCAAGCATTCCTCCCATTCACTGTTTTGTGTCCCCTCCCCTCACTGCTTCTCTTCTGTCTCAGATTTGGAGTTTTACTTACTGTTAGTCTAGACCCAGAGAGCTGATTGTATAACAGAAGCCTTGTTTCCCCTGCCAGATCACAAGCTGTGCAGGTGTCTCTGGTTCCAGAACTAATCAGGCACTTGACCTTTCTGACTCTCCACATCTCAATCTGCAACTCACTGTAAACTGTATATAAATCTAACCTAAAATTGAAATATTTTGTTAATTACTATGCATGATGAATTATTCATGATATTCATGCTTAATTATTTGTGGGGAGGAAGTGTGCTGATGTTTGCAACTTACTTTAAAATGCATAAAAAATTAAGATGGATTGAGGGATAGAGAGATGGATGTACAGGTGGATATGTGATAAAGCAAATATAGTAAAATATAAATTGTAGAATAGGGGTGGGTGATGGGTACATTCACTGTACAATTCTTCAATTCTCTCAACTTTTTTGTATGTTTGAATGTTAAAAGGTAACAAAACCCCCCAAATTAACAAAAATGTCATGCCACAAAAAAGCAGACTGGTTTTCTTCAAGTGCTTCAAAGCTGAAAGCTCTAAGTATATACAGTTTCTTCCCAAAATAGTTTTCTCTTTCCCCCTTCCTTCTTTAATCCTCAAACAATAAACATGTGTATACTTTTTAATTTTAAAGCCAAAATAAATCATTTTTTCCGGGGAAAGGAAACCATATACTTGGGACAAGTTATTTGCCAGGGTTTTTGTTTGTTTTCTGATGAATACACAGCAGTGAATGTAGGATGGAAAAACTTTAAAGATTTGTAATATGGTGTTTAATAATGTGTAACTTGTTTGATTTAGGCCTCTGTAGAAACTTGCAAGAGCTGAATGTCTCTGACTGTCCAACGCTCACGGTGAGTATAAGAAGCTTATTTTACTGTTGTTTATATAGATTCAGACTTGCTCCACTGGAGTACTAATACACAGAGATTCTGCCAAAATACATGCCTGTGTGCTCATTTAGGATTAAATATGGAGAAAAGCAAACTATGTTAAACACTGGCAAGAAATTTTATCCAACTTATGTAATGCTCTTATTATTCCTGTAGATATGTCCAAGGTTGGAGTCTCTGGAAAGTGGAAACTATTCAACAATTAGACAAAAATGAACTATATTTCTGTTTAAGGCCACGTGTGCATGAGACTGAAAAAATTGGGCCCCAACAGAGACAATAGGCTCAATTTATAAGTCTTCATGGCTATCAGCTGTGGCACCAAAGAAGATGGAAATGAACATGTAACTCTAGCCAACTCCTTCCTGGTCCCTGTCTCCAGGCTTTCCTCTACTTCCAATCTGTCTTACACCCTGTGGACACAGAATATTCCTTCTTAAAGGCAGATCTGACCACTTCACTACCATCTGCCATCATTTAGACACACACTTATCATCTACACTATTGGATAGAGTCAAAGCTCTTTAACATTACTGTACCTTGGAGACCCTCCGTCATCTTGTCTCTGCCTCCCTTTCCAGCCTCATCTTCTCATAAATCCTACATGCACATTAAGTTTCAGCAGCCACAAGCTGCTATGCTTTCTTTCCTGCATGCACCAAGCTCCTCTTGCTGTTTTGCCTTTGCTCCGGCTGTGCTCTTTGCTTGAAGATAGGAGGGAAAAGAATGAACAGCCTGATTGCTTCCCCCTCCTCATTAAGCACCAGCTCCAGGATGAAGTCCATGCACAGGTGAAAAGACTTCGTGAATTGGCTCTTCCTTGCTACCTACCCAGCCTCCTCATTAACAGTTCTTTCTTTCAGATTTCTACTCGATTTCATTCTTTCTGTGGATATTTTTAGCACCTACTATGTTAAAGACATATTTATCTTTATATATAAAGATATATAGGGAACTTATATGTTATAAAATAGAGGTTCTATAGGGAATTTAAGATGAATTTTCAGTTTTGGCCCTCAGGGAGCTTTAGTTCTCACTTGGATAAAAGATCATATTCTTTAATTTGGCTTTCTAATAGGAAAGTCAAAACAATTCCATCTGGGCTTCCCTGGTGGCGCAGTGGTTGAGAGTCCGCCTGCCGATGCAGGGGACACGGGTTCGTGCCCCGGTCCGGGAAGATCCCACATGCCGCGGAGCGGCTGGGCCTGTGAGCCATGGCCGCCGAGCCTGCGCGTCTGGAGCCTGTGCTCCACAACGGGAGAGGCCACAACAGTGAGAGGCCCGCGTACCGCCAAAAAAACCAATTCCATCTGTGTTGAATTTGTGAACATCAAAGTCTTTTCCAGTTTTAGAGTTTAATAATGTACAGGGCTGATAACTTTATCTAGCTACATTTTACTATTGTCTTTCCCTTTGAGACAAAGACTGAGAGACAGGCTTACATTTAAGGAGTTGAGTAACATTCATTCAAAAAGCTTTGATTTCTAAGAAGCTTGCCTTATGAATATATTACATCCGGAAAGATTTTGAGTGCATCATAGACAAATTCATGGACCATCCTGCAATGTAGACACTGAAACAATTTTTGCATTTATGTGCTCAAACATTTGGGGATTGAAATTTGAGCTCTTTTAAATATTGAGAACAAAATTCCTTTGAACTTCCTCCTCATCTCAAAGGGAAAATCAGATTATTCTATGTTACATAATGCCTACTTCATCTTCCTCTTGCTGGCTCCCATATATTTTCATCTGTGTGGCCACCTCTCTAGGGTGTAAACCAGCTTTCTATCTTCCTCCTTGTCCCATTTCATTTGCATTTTTGCCGGCGTCTTCCACCAGGTGCACAATCACTTTGATGGTTGATTGGCACCATGAACATTTTTGAAGATAGATTCTTTCTATTGAACTATAATGCCACACATTATGTTTGTTCTCTCCATTCCTGCTGGGAAAAAGTGTACTGTATACTCTTTAATCTGTACATGTATATCCAAATCCTACATTTTGGTGGTGGAGTGTCTAGAAAAATTGCTGGTATCTTGAATGCAGTGGCAAGAGTACAGTGTTTATTGAAAGCCCTGCACTTGTTCTCATGCGTCATTGGCACATAGAACCTTTTGACAACAGAACTACAGTTTTACAACTTAAAAAAAAAAAACCTTGTGTTCTCTTTAAGGTGTGGTTTGCTTCCCCTGTAAATCAACCAATTCTTATCCCACGTGAGAGATGCTCTGACCTACAGGATTTTGTTATTTTAATATTCATGATTCCAGGAAGCAGCTAGGAATAGAATGTTAGGCATTGATGGTCCTGCTGAAAGTAAACCTTTGCCATCCTTAGTGGTGTTTGGGGAAGCCATATTGACCATGCAGAATTCTTCCCCGAACCTCATCTCCTAGCCTAGTGCCAGTTTACCTCTTCCTGCAAAGGCCTATTCTTCCAGGACAATGTACCACAAATATTTAAAACTAGCAGACTTCTTCAGTGTTCCTGGGGAGACTCATAAATCATTAAATAAATACAAACCCGCTGCTACTCATTCTAGAACATTTTATAAATAGTTACCAATACAAGAAGCACCACCATTGCAATCAAAGCTTGAAACACATCTGTCTTGCAAATGTCAATTTAGGGCTCATGCTTGAAATCACTCTGTGTTTTTCTCATGTTGCAGTCATACTGTTCTCTTGTACTGGATTTCAGCTCTCTGGGAGAGGGTTCCCTGAATCTTTGATATTCTCCCCTGCAGTACCCCCTGCATTGAATTTCATGTCCAACACGTATGCAGCCTATATTTTACTTCAGGACATCTCAAACTTAACGTAAATTTGGTGCAAGGCTGTTTAGCTGTTTTAATATCTTCAGTAACAGAACCACAGAAACTTAATCACACACACACACCTCTGTATAAATATACATGCGTAAATATGGACTCTTTTTTTTTTGCGGTACGCGGGCATCTCACTGTTGTGGCCTCTCCCGTTGTGGAGCACAGGCTCCCGACGCGCAGGCTCAGCGGCCATGGCTGACGGGCCCAGCTGCTCTGCGGCATTGGGATCTTCCCAGACCGGGGCACGAACCCGTGTCCCCTGCATCGGCAGGCGGACTCTCAACCACTGCGCCACCAGCGAAGCCCTGGACTCACTTTTTAATGAAGTCCAGTTGAAAGAGTTTCATCCTGTCTTTCAGAATGATTTTAGTAAATTTAAAAATGGATCCATTTTTAATCATTTTCATGTATCTAACGAGTCAGGAGTGTTTGACACTTTGACACGAACTCAAAGGGTTGAACTGGCAAGGGTTCAGATTTTAATGAAGTGTCATTGTGATGCAATGGGACTTTATTTCCAAAGAAAGGTAACGGGAGGGAGTAATGAACCTTCAAGCAAAGCCATCACCTTCTACTTAATTTGATTTATAAATGATAACAGAGACTATGAAGAGACCAAGACTCGAATATACTTTTTTGGAGTAGGGAGTGAGATAATAGAGCGATAATAGGGAAATAGCAAAGCTTGTTAGACTTTGATAAGATTCTTCCCTGTGTTTTTATGCACGATGAATCAATGAGATACATCTCTGAGAGCTGTCCTGGAGTCCTGTATCTCAATCTATCTAACACAACTATCACCAACAGGACAATGCGACTCCTGCCGAGGTAATGCTTATGTTATCTCTATTACACTGAAACTAGTTTTGCTCCCCTAGGCTCTGACTTGCTCTAGTATTCCCCAAAGGCAGTGATCCTTTTACTAACACCCCACCACCTTGGTACCCCTATTCTGATAACAGGACTGCTTTCAAGTCCCCAAGCTAGTGCCTAACCTCTCCCTCCTTAGCCTTGCCTTGGCTGGTATTTGGGGGTCGCTCTTTTAGCAGTTTGCCCAGTAGGTTGAGTTAGGCTCTGCCTATCTCTTTCTGGTCCTCATTCCTGGGCTTTGGAGCCTGGCCCATCAATCCCAGTCCAGTGTTTGGACTTCTCTACAACAGAACCCCAATATCCTGCCTCCTTAGACCCTGAGCACTGCAGAGCCAGGTTCCCTGTTGTCATGCTCTGGTTACCTATTGGGACCCCCCCCCAATCACCTCCAGGAAACCTGATGCTTGCGTTTTTTTGATCTATGGACTGTTGACAAGCCAGCACTTCTTTGGAGAAGAAGGGAAAGGAGAATATAAGACATCACTAAGAGTTGACAGAATATTCAATTTTATCAAAAATTTACATCATTCAATTATTCTTTATTTTCACCAAGGAAAAGACTAATCAGGAAGAGTATATGCTCATATTGGGAGAGATTCAAAACAGTTTTCAAACTACTGTGAAAGAATGAACCATTTTTGACAATGTAACTTTTTTGAGATCCTTCGAAAAATAACAGTGAGGCATTAGAGAAGCTTAAACAGAGAAAATTATAGGTGGTAATTTTCCTTATCTTTTCTCTCTAACCATTTTCTGGAAATATGCAAGACTAAAAAAAGGTGGTAACATATTTGCTTTATCTCATTAATTGGCTTTCCATATTCTAGTCAGTCAAATCTATCAAACATTTCCTTTGAAATTTCTCATGAGTCTTTTAAAAAATAGAGGGTTTTCCTCCTTCCAAGCATTTGATATACATTTATTTTTTTTCTTGTATGATTCTTTTTTGGTACGCGGGCCTCTCACTGTTGTGGCCTCTCCCGTCGCGGAGCACAGGCTCCGGACGCACAGGCTCAGCGGCCATGGCTCACGGGCCCAGCCGCTCCACGGCATGTGGGATCTTCCCAGATCGGGGCACGAACCCGTGTCCCCTGCATTGGCAGGCGGACTCTCAACCACTGCGCCACCAGGGAAGCCCTATGATTTGTTTTTATTTAAATTTATAATCAACCTAGAATTAATTTTGGTAGATAAATGAAGCAGTGATCTAACAGGTTCATCAAACTATGCCTTGTGCAGCCCAAAGCCTGTTTTAGTGCAGTCCATGAGCTAAGAATATTTTTTTTTTTCACATCAAGAGTTGTTAAACCCTTGGGGATAGTGGGGCAGGGGAGGGGGAGAGATAAATTACGAGTTTGGGATTAACATATACACACTACTGTATATAAAACACATGAACAACAAGGACCTACTGTATAGCACAGGGAACCCTATTCAATATCTTGTGATAACCTATGATGGAAAAGAATCTGAAAAAGAATATATATATGTATACTTGTATGTATAACTGAATCACTTTGCTGTACACCAAAACTAACACATTGTAAATTAACTATACTTCAGTAATTAAAGAGTTGTTAAATAACTAAACAATTATTCCAGCATCATTTATTGAATACTTTTCTCAAGTGATGTGTGATACCTCTTTATATATCTAAAATTTTTATATAGGTAGTACATACTAAAAACTCATCACCTTCTAATGTTTTTGTACATGTTACTATCATCTATGTTCTAGAGGTTATGACCATTGTATCTGTATGGTTAAAATATTACAGCACTGTGCATCTCTTCCCAACTCCATGTTCAGTGACCTCTCTCATTGGTAGCTTAGAACCAGCCAAAATGGGAGTGTTCTGTACCATGAAAAATGCCATACAATACAAATTAGGGTTTGATTTATTTTTTTGTTGATTGTTTAGACTGGAGAAGACAAGATAGCAGATTAAAAGTGTGTCATGTCTGCAACCTACAGAATGGGAGAAAATATTTGCAAACAATGTGACTGACAAGGGCTTAGTTTCCAAAATATACAAACAGCTCATACAAGTCAACAACAAAAAAACAAACAACCCAATCCCAAAACGGGCAGAAGACCTAAATACACATTTCTCCAAAGAAGAAATACAGATGGCCAATAGGCACATGAAAAGATGCTTAACATCGCTAATTATTACAGAAATGCAAATCAAAACTACAATGAGGGCTTCCCTGGTGGCGCAGTGGTTGAGAATCTGCCTGCCAATGCAGGGGACATGGGTTCGAGCCCTGGTCTGGGAAGATCCCACATGCCACGGAGCAACTAGGTCCGTGAGCCACAACTACTGAGCCTGCGCATCTAGAGCTTGTGCTCCACAACAAGAGAGGCCGTGACAGTGAGAGGGCCCTGTCGATGAAGAGTGGGCCCCACTCACCGCAACTAGAGAAAGCCCACGCACAGAAATGAAGACCCAACACAGCCAAAAATAAATAAATAAATAAATAAATAAATTTTAAAAAAAGGCAACTATCAGAAATCAACAATTAAAAAAAACTACAATGAGGTATCACCTCACACCAGTCAGAATGGTCATCATTAAAAAGTCTACAAATAACAAATGCTGGAGAGGGTGTGGAGAGAAGGGAACCCTCCCACACTGCTGGTGAGAATGTAAGTTGGTGCAGCCACTGTGGAAAACATTATGGAGGTTCCTCAGAAAACTAAAAACAGAATTACCATATGATCCAACAATCCCATTCCTGGGCATATGTTCAGAGAAAACTATAATTCAAAAAATACATGCATCGCTATTTTATAGCAGCACTATTCACAATAGCTAAGACATGGAAACAACCTAAACGTCCATTGACAGATGAATGGTTAAAGAAGATACATAATACAATGGAATACTACTCAGCCATAAAAGAGAATGAAATAAAGCCATTTGCAGCAACATGGATGCAACTAGAAATTATCATACTAAGTGAAGTAAGTCAGACAGAGAAAGACAAATACCATATGATATCACTTATATGTGGAATCTAAAATATGACACAAATGAACCTACCTATGAAACAGAAACAGAATCATGGACATAGAGAACAGACTTGTGGTTGCCAAGGGGGCAGGGGGTTGGGGGAGGGATGGAGTGGGAGGTTGGGTCTAGCAGATGTAAGCTTTTATGTATAGAATGGATAAGCAACAAGGTCCTACTGTATAGCACAGAGAATTATATTCAATATCCTATGATAAACCATAATAGAAAATAATATTAACGAAGAATGTATATATATGTATAACTGAATCACTTTGCTGTACAGCAGAAATTAACACAACATTGTAAATCAACTATACTTCAATAAAAAATATTGAAAAAAATATGTCATGTCTGTAGCTGCAACATTATGATTAGCACAAAAAAGGTGAGGAAATATCTTTTCAGTACTTGAAAACTGTCACATCATTGATGGATGAGTGAAATCTGGACATAAATCTTTGTGGTTTTATTTTTGTCTTACCCATTAATATAAATAAAAATATTCATATTGGAATTATACCCATTCCTCAAGCTTTTGAACTTTATTTTTTGGTTAAAAAAAAGAAATACATCAGAGTGAACAATTTTATTCTTCCTTTATGTGCACATAGGAGAAGACAAAAGTACTAGCTATATTTATGAGTTTGGCAAAAGTCAGTGAATGAAAACATTGTGTGAGAATCAACTGACTATATGAAATTAGCAATAAACAGTATTGTGTATGTTATTATTTGTAAGTTGTGTGCTGTACATCTTTTATATATGTAAAATAGTTAATGTAAAATAGTAAGATGTGGGCTTCCCTGGTCACGCAGTGGTTAAGAATCCGCCTGCCAATGCAAGGGACACGGGTTCGAGCCCTGGTCCGGGAATATCCCACATGCCGTGGAGCAACTAAGCCCGTGAGCCACAACTACTGAGCCTGTGCTCTAGAGCCCACAAGCCACAACTACTGAGCCCACGTGCTACAACTACTGAAGCCTGCGCACCTAGAGTCTGTGCTCTGCAACAAGAGAAGCCACTGCAATAAGCCTGCGAACCGCAACGAAGACCCAACGCAGCCAAAAATAAATAAAATAAAATAATTTATTTAAGAAAATAGTAAGATGTACAAATTTACAGTAAACATATATACATTTATATGCATACGTTTTTGAAGAACCAGCTGTAAGATATTTACCAGTATGTCAATAATTAAAGGTAAAATAAGTTGGGAACTAATCCATATTTTTATAATATTTAGTCTCCCTATCAGGAACATAGTATACTTCTAAAATTTTTCTTTCAAGTGTTCTTAAATGTCTCAAAATTTTGTTTTATTCATATGGATAGTCTGTGGTGTCTTTTTCATTGCCATTGTGAATAGTATCCTTTCTGATTATGATTTCTCATTATATTTTCTAAATGGTTACTTTTGGACTTGGGCATGATGTACATATATCTTTTTAAACTTTTCATTTGTATGATTTGATTTCTTTCCTTTTAAAATAAAAAATAGAGCTATGAAATTACTTCTAAAGAAGAACTTAGGCAAAGCTTGTAAGATTTGATAAATATTGTTCTCATTTTCTAAACAAACTGTTGTATATTTGATTATATGCTGATTACCACTTTGACCTAATAATTATTTAGAAGAGGATTTTTGGTTTCAAATTGTTGAAGTTTCTTAATTAAGCTTATGTTTTTAATTCTAGTTTTTTACACCGTGGTCAAGAAATGTGGACTGAATTATTTCTACTTTTTGAAATTTATTGAGATTTCTTGATGGACTAGTTTATATACTCAACTTCAGTAAATCATCCATGAATGTTTAAAACAAAAGAGTTTCTTTCAGAGAACATTTCTAGGTGTATATGCACATATATGTATAAATTCTCGATATGTCATAGATAAGTGATATATTAGTTGCCTATTATGATAAGGCTTCTATTAATTTATTTT